CCCCTCCCCTCCCCTCCTTTTCTTTTGTTTTCTTTTTTCTTGTTTTCTTTTCTTTTCTTCTCTTTTCTTTTGAGACAGGGTTTTTCTGTATAACCCTGGCAGAGTCCTGGAACTTAAGCTTACAGAGGTCTGCTTGCCTCTGCCTCCCAAGTGCTGGGATTAAGGGAGTGCACCACCACCTTCATAATATTGGCAAACATCTGTTTCCTTTGGAGCCAAACAAACATTTGAGTCAAAGAGCCAAGAATGAGTCAGAACATTTTGTCCTTGTGGTTTGTCTGTGGGAAAAAGACACCTTTATGGGTAACCTTAACATTCTGACCTCTCTGTGTCTGGGAAGAGACAAGCAAGAGGAGTAAATTTTGCCCAAGGTGACCAGGGAAAGCCTTGGGAGGAAGAGCAATAGGACCTTGCCGGGCTACTATGTTGGGTGAAACAATGGTGACAAGGACAAGGTTTATAGAACACAAGGATTTGCAAAACATGAGCAATTGCACAGGGCTGCATCCCAGAAGGTTAGCTAGGGAGAAGGTCACAGCAAGGCAGAAGAGCCAGACTCTGGACTGTCCTGTGTGCCAAGTTAAGACATGGGTTGCCTGGGAAGGCATCTAAGCTGAGCAATGACTTGAACATCCCTGGGCTGGAGGACACTGTCTGACCCGTGTGGAGGCAGAACCATTTAGGATACGCACAGAAGATGGAAGAAGAATGAATGGGGATGGAAATGGAAAGCTAACCTAATGATGAATTCTCGATTTAAAAACAGGCAGTGCTCATCTTCACAGATATTCAAGAACAATGAATAAAGTCCCTAGAGGCTTCTGACAAGAAATTAAAGGCCTGCACTGTGGCCTGTAGCACAACAGGACCCTGCTGGCTCCACGCCAGACATGAGCATTCTGGTGATGAGGAGTGGACACTTCTGCATCAGTTACACCCCAACTGTATGTTTAATTTCAGTCTTTCTTGTCTTTTTTATGTTTCCCCCCACAGGAGAATAACCTTTTCGTTCTAATCTGAAATTAATTATTTATGCTTATGAACACACTGGATACCTGCCTGGTTTCTTTGCTTTTTGAATAATACATTTGAATAGAAATTCATAGAAGCCAAAGCAAACATAATTTTGAGGTAAATGTCCTTTCCCCAATTGTTGCCTGACTGTTCTAAACCATAATGTGGCCTTGTCATTATTCTGTGATCCAAAAACCTGTCCCGTGTGCCTTTGACAGGGGAGGTTCACACTAACAGGCTCACTATCTGACATTTACTCTTATTCCTTCCCACTGCTGAGGTGACTTCCTTTACTGGCCCATATTCCATCCACTCATCCTGAGGCCCAGTTCAAACACCGCTTACCCGTGGATCTGCCCCTGGATCCTTTCAAGGGGAAAGCCCTTTATACTTCCGCATTTGTGGGCTTTGAGTCCATCAGACTCTGAACTCCCTTGGAGATAACTGCCGCATGGCTGGCAGGTATCTGTCTCCTCAAGGGGCCATGACTGTATGTGTGGCCGAGGACACTCTCAGTGTGGCCCAACACAAAATCATGAACTTATTTTAAGACTTGAGGGTTGGGTGCTTGGTCACTCGGTTGTTAACATATACTGCTCTTGTAGAGGACTTGAGTCTGGCACCCACACGGGACAGTACACAGCCCTTAGTAATTCCAGGATCAAGGAACCTGAAGCCCTAGTCTGGCCTCTCTGGGTATCTATACACATGTGCTAACAGTAGAGTAAATCTATTTTCTTTTAAAAAGAAATGTTTTGTAAATTTTTTCCTCTTAGGAATTCGATTGAATGGATCTCTAGATAAACTTCCTTTAAGGATTCTTTGCAATAACAAGATCCACACTTCTGTTTGCCGACGCTAGGAGGCGTGACCTAGGAGGGGAGGCGTGGTTTCCGACACCTTCAGAAGCCCGTAAACACTGAGCAGGCTGGGTCACCCACCTAGAGACGGTAAGTAACGGTGAGATAGTCCCAGTCCTAAGCACTTCGCACATCCAGGAGTCTGCTAAAGAGCCTGCCCACGAAGGCTGCCCTTGTCCCTCTGTCCACTGTCATTTGTCGCCTGTGGCTCTGCAAATCAGAAACACTGTTCGAATGTCACAACACTGAGGAACCCATGCACGGAAGAGACAGATAACTTGCCTAAAGTCACTCAAGGGCTTGCCACGGCTATAATTCTGACCTGGCTCTCCTAACTCACAGCATAGTGCTCCTTCCAAGACCCCACAAATTGTGTGAGGCTAGCTGTATGACCTCATGTACGCACAGGTGTCCTGAGAAGTGCGGTGACAACGAGCTCTCCACCAAGCTTTAAGAACACCTCATCAGAAGCTTTCGCGTTTCCACGCACGCGCTATCTACAGCCTTGGCTCTTCACAGACTACACGCTAGAGGACGCGCTTGCGTTGTGTTTTATGGCACAACGAGGCCACCGTATAACCTCAGCTTAAGGCCGGGAAAATTAGCGGCACTCTCCTGGCCTGGCAAAAGGTGTGACAAGACTGACTACGGGGCCCAAAGCAGTTCGGGGCAGCCACGGGGATACCCAGAGCCGAGCAAGGCGGGGCCCTCCCTGGTCACGTGGTCCGACGACGCTTCGCCCCGCCCCTGTCTCGGTCGGGTCGGTCTGCGCCTGTGCGGGCGCGGGCTCGCTCGCCGGCCGTCCTGCGGGCGGGCGCCCCGGGCCGTGGGTGAGTCCTGGGTGGGGTAGGAAGCGGCGGCCCGTGTGCCTTAGCTTCTGGCCAGAGAGAAGGGAGGCTTGAAGCAGGGCCGCGGGTTGTCGAGCTCCAGGTCCTACGCTCGCATCGCGTCCGGGGCCTGCCAGCTGCGGCCCGGCTCCGGCCGAGGGGCCTGTGGTGCTGCGGCGCGCTCGGGCAGGGAGGAGCCCACAGCTCGGGAGCCGCAGGCCCGCGGGATCGCGGTGGCCCGTGGTTCCTTTTGTCTGCGCCCCGCGGGATCGCGGCGGCCCGTGATACCCCGTGGGGCTGGCGATTCCGCCCAGCGCCTCTCGGTCCTCACTGAGTGGGCAAATGGAAGCCTGGAGAATGCTCGTTCTGAGACACCATGTTTCATCGCGCAGTAAACAGTCTAAGCTGGGCGGGTGGGCGGGCGACAATTGTTCCATTCTGTGCGGATTGTTGTATGTAGCTTAGGTAGAGGGTGTCAGCACCTCAGCCATGTTTACGACTTTTAGCTTAACCTTTGTCTTGGCCCCTACAGCTTGGACCAGCTGCCCAGCTGGTCCTAGTGCCCACCTTCTGTTTTGTCTGTTTTTACCTGTAGTCTGTTGACAGAAGATTGAACTGTATGTGGAGTGATCATACCAAAATGGACCTCTGGCGGCTTTGCTTTGAAAGGATTTGAAGACTCGGATCCAGGGCCCATGAGAAACAAACCAGAGTCACCCTTAGTGTTTCTTAGGGCGACATGACACTTCTGATAAGAATTGACTCTAGTCACGGTTGTCAGATGGAAGGAAGCTAAGATAGTGGATTTTTGTCACAGATGTTGCTTTGTATTTGCAGTGGTTAAATCATGCTGTAACTAGCACTTGAACCTTGCCTAACCCTGTTTTTGAGTGCTGACTCAGACCTGCTGACTAGTTGGAATTCACATCTTTTGAGAATTACAGTCACCCTTTGCCCTGTTTTTTGACTTTGTACTGAGGTCATATCTGGCTTTTGCATATCCCTGTGGGCCGAAATTTACATAGGCTATTTAGAATTTATACTGTTTCTTACATCACAGAAGTTTGACCCTTGTTGGATCAAAGTGGATTTTGCTCCCTTCTGCTAGGTTTGGTGCCTTACAGCAAACTAGTGAGATCATTGTGAATACATTTTATAGTAAGTTGCAAAGGATTATCATTCAGAGAAATTTAAATAGAAACCAGTTCATCCGAGTTTAGCCAGTGATCGGAGTGTAGTAATCAAACATACCATGTTTTAAAATTAAAAAAAACAAAAGATGGGTTGGTGGTCTCTAATGTGCCAAGGTACTTGAATGGGGTCAGAGGACAACTTTCCAGAATCTTCCATCTCAAGTAAGATTGTGCTGATTGGCAGTAAGCTCCTTACTTGATGAACCGTCTTGCCTGCTCCCATATTCTAAACTCTTACCAGCACATTGCGCAGTGACTCTGCTTCTTGTTGCTGCATTAAGACACTTATCACAGGCTGCAGAGCTGCCTCAGCTGTGAAAGGCTCATAACCAGAAAAAGAGAAGCTAGGCAGGCCGCCCTGGTGGGCCGGGTGCAGCCGACAGGAATGATTGAAGTCTGAATCTGGGAGGTGTGCAAAACATTACTTTTTTTTTTGCTAGGCATGGTGGCTTACACCTTTAATCCCAGCACTCTGCCTGGGGCAGAGGCAGGTGGATCTCTGAGTTCAAGGCCAGCCTGGTCTACAGAGCAAGTTCCAGGACAGCCAGGGCTACATAGAGAAACCCTGTCTAAAAAAAGGAATATTTTTTTTCTATATAGAACTCTTAATATCTAATAATGTAAGTGATCAAAAATATTCCCAAAATTTCTTATGGTAGTTTGTAGAGAGGTCTGTAAATGACTGACTACCTGGGCTGTTTTCTGTTTGCTGACCAACAAGGCCCATTATAGCCATGACAGATTAAATGGAGCAACCTTAATTTGCAAATTTTTGTTTTTGCAAATTAGAAAAAAAGAACTAATTGGGTAGAATCGATGAGCAAATGTGGCCTTTGTTTTGTAGTGTAGAGGATTGAACAGAAAGCTGGGAAGCAGTCTGCTGAGCGTCCCAGAGCTGAGCAAAGGGATTGAGAAAGCACACTAATGCCTTGAGTTTCTTCAGGACACAGCTGTAAGCAGCTGCTAGATGATGACTTTAGACCATCAGGCCGCTGTTAGCTGGGCATGCTGGCCAGTGCTCACCGCCCCTGCTTCATACTGAGCTCTAGGCCAGCCGGAGCCAGACGATGACACCTTGTAAATAAGTGTGCATGGTGTAAAGCTGAAGTAGTCTTTGAATTTGTAAATTGTTAGAATAGTGTATGGTTGAGTACATTAAATGTTTTTGTGAAATTGGGGGGTGAGGGTAGAGATGTGGGCCTGGTCTCTCTATGTAAACCTGGCTGTCCTAAACTTGATATGTAGACTAGGCTGTTCTGTTCTTTTTTTTTTTTTTTTTTTTGGTTTTTCGAGACAGGGTTTCTCTGTGTAGTCCTGGTTGTCCTGGAACTCACTCTGTAGACCAGGCTATCCTCGAACTCAGAAATCCGCCTGCCTCTGCCTCCCAAGTGCTGGGATTAAAGATGTGCGCCACCACTGCCCGGCCTTTAAAGATTTATATATGTGAGTACACTACACTGTAGCTGTCTTCAGACACACCAGAAGAGACATCAGATCCCATTACAGATGTTTGTGAGCCACCATGTGGTTGCTGGGAATTGAACTCAGGACCTCTGGAAGAGCAGTCAGTGCTCTTAACCGCTGAGCCATCTCTCCAGTGCCAGTCTGTTCTTAAACTCAGAGATCCTTCTGCCTCTGAGTGCTGAGTTAAAGACCTGGACAACCACACTCAGGGATTTTGTTGATTTTAACATTAACCATGACAGTAAAAAGAACAAGACATTATCTAGTATCTGGCATTTCTGCTCCAGGTTTTAGTTTTTAAAATCTAACTTAATCTAAGTTGGTAAGCATTAGTCTTCTGTTGTAGTACTAATAAGAGTTTTTAGCTGGGTATAGTGTGCACGCCTTTAATCCCAACTCTTAGGAGACAGAGGCAGGGCCTCTGCTTGAGGACAGCCTGGTCTAAATAGAGTTCCAGGACAGCCAGGGCTACACAGGCAAACCCTGTCTCAAAACAAATCAAAAAAAATCCAAAATAAAAAACAAACCAGTTTTTAGACAGGCCTGGTAGTACCTATAATTATAACATTTAGAGGCTGAGGCAGGAGACTTAGGAGTTTATAGTCAGCCTGGGCCAAACTAAAGCAAGGCCTGGTCTCAAACTAGCAAAGTGTTTACCTCCTGCCTATGAACTGGAGCAGTAAAGAGCATGGCTGTGGAGGACTGACCAGTTAGCCATTAACAGGCTCAGTGTCGAGGGAGCTCAGTGCTGTGGAGCATTAGTCACCATGCTCTTACAAGCCGCTACAGTGAGAAAGGGTAAGGGCTGCAGAGGGGCCTCACATAGACACACTGTTGAAAAAGTAAAAAAAAAAGGAAAATAGTATGTCTCAGATGCTAGTGATCTCTGAGCCATCTCTCTGGCCCCCACAAACATAATGAACTTTATATAAATATAGAAATTAAACCACCTTTTTTTGCTTTTTTTTTTTTTTTAAAGGAAATGCAACTATCAAAAGTGACTTCAGAAGAGAGAAGGCTAACAATGGAAAACACTGGCAAAGTTCCCAGAAAGCTGTCCTCTTCAGTGCCAGGCTCAGCTGATGTCACAGGTAATATCTTGTAAGCTTTAAAGGAACAGGTAATGTTGAAGCCCAGCCTTGGTGGCCACGCCTTTGATCCCAGCACTCAGGAGGCAGAGGCGGCTGGGTTTCTGTAGTTCAAAGCCACTCTAGTCTACAGACCAAGTTCCAGGACAGCCAGAGCTACACAGAGAAACCCTATCTCAAAAAAACAAAATAAACAAAAATAAAGGACCAAGTAATGTTGGCAGCATTGAAGTTGTTCCACAGGACAAGGAAAAGGACACAGATTTGCTCTTCCAAAGCCAGTGGAATAGACACTGGAACTTGATGTGAAAATCAGAAGCTGGGATCTCAGGGAGTGGACCGTAGAATGCTACGGAATGGAGGTGGGGACGGTGGCTCAGTGGCTGGGCCCTGGCTTGTCGAGCACCAGATTGAGCAACAGATCCTGGCAAATGTTACTTAGGGGAAGTCAGGCGTCATCCTGTGCTCTAAGGCTAGCTAGTGGGATAGGCTTTGACTTAGCTAGCTCCACTCGCAGTGCTGTGCCTCTCTCTTCTGTGCGCAGTGAGCAACATCATCACCCCTATTGACTTCTCGTGGTGCAGAAGTAATGTGTGTTTGGTAGGAACTGCACCTTAAGGAATTTTCACTAGCTGGTGACATAAGGCACTATGCTCTCTTGATGTGACACAGTAGTGAACCAAAGCTTCTGTTAGCCACACAGTCAGAAAGGTAAGCAGCCAGTGCTCCCAGGTCTATTAGGAGTCTTAACTGTCAGGGATGTGGGATGAATGAACCAATGAATGTGATTAACATGCATGAAGCCCTGGGTTCAGTCCTCAGTACCAAAAATAAATATATGCACTTTTCACATGCTATTTTTACCCATAATGGACTTATCAGGATGCAACCTGAGGGACATCTATATATCAAACAAGTCCTTCAGAAGCGAAGGGTAACAGTTGAGTCTTGTTGAGCCCCTCCTGTACTCTGCTCTCAAATTCACTCAGTGAATTGAGCCAGCCTCTGGGATGAGTAACTTCCCTGTCTTACAAACAACACAACCATGACTTGCTGCAGCTTGGATTTTAATTCAGGTGACTAGTAGGTTCTAAGGCTCGTGTGTGTTACTTAGGCTCTGATTCCAGTGTCTCTGTGACCATTTCATAGCTACCTGAGAACATCTGACCGAAGTTTAAGATAAGTTCCGATTGTAGGTGCAGAAGAGGGCGGGAGACTGAAAACTTCCCCTTAGCTGGTTTTAGAGGGAAACTCTGGCTGTGTGTATTCTGTATTCTGCTGCAGGTCTACAGTTTCTGATTCTTCTCTGGGCCTGGCCTCTGCCTTCTTCATTCTCTTTAACATTTTTTGTCTTGACTATTAGCAGTTTTTAGCACCATAGTGTGGTAATGTAGGAAAATCTTGAAGAATTTAACAGGCATTTGATTTTGTTCAAATTGAAGAACTAGATATTTTGTCCAACTGGTTTCATTTCCCATTGAAGACCTTGCAGTGTGGCTTAGATTGATAACTTTCCATGTCTTGGGTAGCGGTGCTGTGAGCATATCTACTGGTGATTTTGACTGCAGGTCCACAGCTAGGAGGCACTGTTTCCTGTAGCACTGGACTGCTTTATAGTCCACACTGTTTCCTGTAGCACTGGACTACTTTATAGTCTTTCCAGTGCGTGGGCCTCGTGTCACAGTCCCGCCGGTGCTTGTGTTTTATGGTTGTTGAGTCTTTGTTGTCTTTTTCAAAAATATATTTGCATGTGTGTGCATGCATGTGTGTGCATGCATGTGTGTGCATGCATGTGTG